TAAGTGTGCAATAGTATTATGTCTTTAAAAAAACAATGTACATACCTTAATTAAAAAATACTTTATTGCTGAAAAATGCTAACCATCATCTGAGCCTTCAGTGAGTCATGATCTTTTTACTAGTGGAAGATCTTGTCTCGATGTTGATGGCTGTTGACTGATCAGGGTGGTGGCTGCTGAAGGCTGGGGTTGCTATGGCAATTTCTTAAAATAAGACAACAATGAAGTTTGCCACATTGATTGACTCTTCTTTTCGTGAAAGATTTCTCTGTAGCCTGTGATGCTGTTTGATAGCATTTTACCCACAGTAGAACTTCTTTCAAAATTCTAGGGGCAGCTAGGTGGCACAATGGATAGAGCACTGGCCTTGGAATCAGGAGGACCTGAGTTCAAATCCTGCCTCAGACACGTAACACTCATTAGCTGTGTGACTCTGGGCAAGTCACTTAACCCCAATTGCCTCACCAAAAGGAAAGTAAAAAGAAAAAAAAATTCTTTCAAAAAAATCCTCTCAAACCTTGCCACTGCTTTATCAACTAAGGTTATGTAACATTCTTCAATATTGTTGTGTCTCGGGGAACAGGGAAGTGCGAGAAGTGGAAGACAAATGGGGGAATGCCTGATCCATGGAGCAGTCAGAACACACACAACATTTATCAATTAAGTTCACTGTCTTACATGGGCACGGTTTGTGGTGCCCCAAAACAATTACAATAGTAACATCAAAGATCACTGATCACAGGTCACCATAACAGATATAATAATAATGAAAAAGTTTGAAATATTGCAAGAATTATCAAAATGTGACATAGAGCACTTGCTGTTGGAAAAATGGCGCTGATAGACGTGCTCCATGCAGGGTTGCCACAAACCTTCAAAAAATGCAGTATCTTTGCAGCACAATAAAACCAGGTATGCCTGTAGGTAATTAACAGAAGAGTCAGGGTTTGAATTCAGATCTCTTCAAATCCAATGCTAATTTCACTATAACACTAGTTCCCTGACCACAGAAAGGAGAGAAGATAACAAGCTGGGGTAGGAAGAGAAGGCTTCATAGAGAAGATGGGCCTCCACCTGGGACACGAAGAACCAAAAGAATTTAGAGGAGCAGAGGAAGGGAAAATGCACTCTGATGCCGAACTCTACCCACCTACCCATTCCTGCCCCAAACAAAGAAACCCTTCACAGCCCATGTCCTTTCCTCTGATGTAACCTCTAGGTTGATTTCCATGACCCTGTTATTGCAATGGTCTTCCTTGTTTGACTCAACTCAACAGGCTCTTACTGCACGTCAGGCCCTGTGCCAGGTGCTGGAACTATAAAGACAAAACCAAAATGATCTCAGCCCTCAAGAAGCTTACATCATACAATGAATCCTTATTGAAAGAGCATAGATTTAGAGTTGGGAAGTCATCTAGTCCAATCATTTCGTTTTATATATGAGGACACTGAGGACCTAGCCCAGGGTCACACACTATGCAAGCAGCAGAGTCAGGATTAGAAGGAACATTCTCCAACATCAAATCCAAAGCTCTCTATCCACAGCCAAGTTTCAGAGCAGGAATACGCCCCAACCACATAGAATTGGAGCAGGGTGAGATGAGGCTTCGGAGTTACTCTGGTCCCCAACAGAATTCTCTCCCCTATGAGGACCATCAGCTTCATGAAAGTATGTCCTCCTTAGCTTTCTATCTCCTGGAGTGCTTAATACAAGCCTTGGACAGGGGAGGTGTGAAATAAATTTGCGGACTGGAATTCAGACCACATATTATCTCCTCGTCCAGCAAATAGATATGTGGAGAGAGCTGAGTAAGTAGGGAAATTATTCCTATTTTCCCATGTGGCACTTCAAATCTTCTCCTAGATTCCTATGATTTTGCCAAAAGTCATAGCATCGATAAACCAACTGGGAGATTAGTCAGTAGACAAAAATTCAAACCAGTCATCAGGTCAAGAGTAAGGATCCTTCTCAGGAAACTAGGTGGTGCAGTGGATAGAGTGCTAAAGTCAAGAAGACTTGTGTTCAAATCCAGCTTCAGACACTTACTAGCGGTGTGACCCTAGTCAAATCACTTAACCACATTTGCATCAGTTTCCTCACCTATAAAATGAGATGGTTGGTCTCAACGGCCTCAAAGTTCCTTCCAGATCTAAATCTATGATCCTATGATTTGTCAAGTTGTGAGACAGTTTCTGGAATTTAGGATTTTAGGTTTGAAGCTGAATGGGATGTTAGAAATCATTTGGTCCATTCCTCTCATTTTCCAAAGGAGGAAACTGAGGCCAGAGTGATTCAGTGACTTGCCTGAGGTAACACAAGAGGCAGAGTCAGGATTTGAATCCAGGGTCTCTGAATCCAGATACAACAATCTTTTGCTGTACTATAAATCTACACCCTGGAAAAAACGGGATTGGGAGTCCTGGAGGGTGGGGGGAGGGATGCTACTTTGGGAATATTCCTGAAGGTCATCCTTTAATTGCCCTTACCATCCCAGTCTTCTCCATTTCAGCTCTGACTGCTTCATTACCCCTCCCCTGCCTATGTATGGAGGCGAACTAAGAGACAGGGCCTCCTGCCCCAATTGTGCTGAGCCAGATGATTCCTGCTGCCCACAGCCCTTAGACACACCTGTCAAAATAGGGAAGTGGGGGCGGAGGGTGGTGAGGTGGAAAGTACTGCCTGGTCCAAGCTGCCCTCTCCAGAGGAAGATGCTGAGCTGAGCTGGCAAGCTCCTGCTGGCTCAGGATAACTTTGCTGCGCAGGCAGTTCTAAGAGACCTGTACTATGAAGGCCATTGGTTTGGAAAACTGTTCAACATCCCTGCCTTTCTTTCTTTAACAGGCCTACTAACAGCCTGCATTAGCATAATATTCTCCTGTTTACAAAATGCTTTCCTCCCAACAACTCCATGAGTAGAGTGTTACTGCCATTACCCATTTTTCAGATGAGAAAACTGAGATTTAAAACTGTTAAGTGACTTACCCAGGGTCAAATAAAACACAGCAGAGCCAGGACTCAAACTTAGATCCCAAAAATCTGAGGCCATTGTTTTTGCCACTACTTCATATCCATATTCATGGTACCAGGATACTAGGGGGGATAGGGAGAAGTATATGACATTTATAGCACTCTACCACTCTACCAACCAGCCAAATTAGCCTTTCCCGTATCCGTCATACATAACACTCCATCATGGGCAGCTAGGTGGCATGGTGTTACATTGTGCCAGGCCCAGAGTCAGGAAGACTCATCTTTCTAAATTCAAATCTGGCCTCAGACACGTACTAGCTGTGTGACCCTGGGCAAGTCATTTAGCTCTGTTTGCCTTAGTTTCCTCATCTGTAAAATGAGCTGGAGAAGGAAATGGCAAACCACTCCAGTATCTTTGCCAAAAAACCTCAAGTGGGGTCACAAAGAGTCAGACGTGACTCAAACAACTGAATAACAAAAACCACACTCCATCACCTCCATCTTTGAACTGGCTGTCCCCCATACCTGGAAAGCATTCTCTTCTCCCTCTTAGAATCAAGAACCACCTTCATAAGAAGCAAAGAGGGGTATCAGAACCTGACCAACCCCCTACAAATAAATAAGCTGAGAACCAAATAGGTTAAATGACTTGCCCAAGGTCACACAACTACTGCATTATGGAACTAGCATTAAAACTGTTCTCCTGATTCTCAGGCATTTTCTGCTATACCACATTGCCTTTTCCCAAACTGCCATGTTATTAGTACAGACAATAAGTGAAGAGAAAGGTTAGATGGAATGAGAGTTTAATATCAATCAATGACCAAGTATTTATTAAGCTCTTATTATATGCCAGGCAATAGTGTGTCAGAGCATCCCCCCAAAAAACTAATGCACACTTAGCTTGTGTTAATAATAATAACAATAATAATAGCTAACCTGTATATAGCACTTTCAAGATTTGCAAAGCATTTTGCAAATATGTCGTTTTCACCCTCACAACAATCCTGGGAAGGGAGTGTTATTATTATCCCCATTTTACAGATGAGGAAATTGAGGTAGACAGAGGTTAAATAACTTGCCCAGGGTCACCCAGCTAGTAAATATCTGAGAAAGACTTTGAATTCAAGTCTCACTAACTCCAACTCCAGCACTCTATCGGCTGTGTCATCCAACTGGCAAGAGAGATGAGAACCCCACTGTATTCTGCCCTGGCCAGACCACACTTGTAATACTGTGTTTAGTTCAGGGCACCATGTTTTGGGGAAAACATTGACAAAGCTAAAGTCTAGAATTTCAGTCAGATGTGGTCTGAACAGGACTTGATCTGGAC